AATTCCAAGTAATCTGGATCAGTTTGCTCATATCTAGGAACCAGGTGCATGTGGTAATTCCTTTTGCAAAAACAGATAAGGGTACAACACTTTTCACACTTTTTTTTACAAGGGAAAATCTCACTTACAAATACTTTCTATTTTAAAGATGAAATTGAAAACCATTAGCAAGAAAAATGTCATGTAATTTCTTAACAGTTTGTCAAAGCAACACATTTGTTTACATTTCCATGATGAGATATGAAGATGTTACAACTCCCACTTATTAACACCCACTCACATTTCCTGATGTCTTACCACTACAGACATCCTTTGCAAGTAGCAGCAGATTTCTTGTAAAAACAGTAATTTCTATTTTGCTACACTACCCATATTTCAAACCATTTATTTTCACTTTTGTCCAGTAATCAAAGAAGCAATAGCTGCCACTGCTGCTATTAAGCTAGGTCTTGAATATGCACATTTGCAGGGCAAAACTAAATAGTGGTAGAATATCCATACCAATTATATTTTCTCAGGGCAGTGGACTGGAAGATTATCCCAAGGATACAGGTCTTCCTATATGTGACTATTCGAGGAACATTTGCAGGGTATGGAGCATTTCTTGACTAAATTTTGGTGATGTAAATGTAAAAGTGATCTCCAGGATGATATTGAAATATACCAAATAATAAAGCTTTGTAATTATTAAAAGACAATTAAATGTATTTTGTTTAATGTAATTATCATAAGCATCTGAATTTGACCTATCGGTCTCTTAGAAGCTAAACTAGGAGAAGAGGACAAAACTAAGAGCCAATCAGGTTTGCTGCTTGAATTTTTATTGACAAACAATTTTCTCACTGGAGGGAAAATCAGTGGGATGACCTACCAGTATTTTGCTGTTCCTTCACTGTACAACCACAGGTTGTGGGCAGGAAGGTGACCTAGCTGTATTGCCTAAATACAGCAGAAAAAACCCTTCCTATGCTGTCTGGCAGAGCTGTTTAAAGTGGTTCTGAAGGCTCAAGGTTTTTTTTATCTTCATGCATTCTGTTCATGAAGATAAAAAAACCTTCTCTGTGCAGCATCCCCCAAGCTTCTTCTAATACTCACCTAAGGCACTCTTGATCCAGCAATGTGAACTGGAGTCTCGGCTATCCTGGGACTCCCTCTTCTCACTGGCTGAGACAGAAGCGGGAGCCATTGGCTCCCACTGCTGTCAATCACTGCTAATGAGCCAATGAGAAGAGAGAGGGGCGGGACCGAGCCTCGACTCCATGTGTGAATGGACACACAGTGCAGCGGGTGCGCTCATAGTAAGCTGCTTGCTATGGGGGCACTAGACAGGAGAGAGGGGCCAGGAGCGCCAGTGGGGGACTTGAGAAGTGATGGATCCAGGCTGCTCTGTGCAAAAACACTACACTGAGCAGGTAAGTATAGACATGATTGTTATTTTTTCTATTAAAAAAAGCCGTTAGAATCACTTTAATGATTGGGACTGGGTGGAAAGGAGTACAAATCCTTTAAAGATTCGTTTGGGATTCTAAAAAACATTTATACTCACCTAGCTGGATACAGCATTGGTCCAATGCTGCATCTATCCCCAGCCACTTCTAAGACTGAGCAATCAAGCACCTCTGATCGCTCATTTCTCGGTCTTCAGTGAACAGAGAGCCAGTGACTGTCTGTCACCACCCTACTGCACTCACTGGAGTGCAGTCTCTCACTGTCTGTTGCCACCCCTCCAGCACTCACTGTGGTGCCAGGCTATGGAGAGGGTGGGAGCAGCTGGCTGAGGCTTTCATTAGGCTTGCAAGCATCTGGGTGGATCCCGACATTAAAGCCAGATCTCTCCAGAGTTTGGACTGGCTGAGTGACGTCAGCTGACAGTAGGCTTTAGCCCACTGTTGGCTGAACATGGGTAACAGGAGTGCAGAACAAAGTGCACTCTTGTGACCCACAGGAGAATTAAGACCAAAAGAGTGTTGGCCCTACTTCTCATTTAAGAACGTAAAGCATCTCCCTTACGTAGTTAAACAATGTATTTAGCTGTTTGTCTGGAGTTCAGCTTTTAGGCAAAAATTTAACAATGGCACCTGTTTTACATATTGCCTCCCTTCATTTGTTTAATTAACAAAGCCCACTAGTCCAAGCTTAGCTTGAAAACTGACTTCAACTAGAAAGTGAGTTTGGTTAGCCTGTATATGGCCTAGCACAGCTTTCAGAAAACCCATCGGGTGGAATTCAATAAAGTTGCTATGCCACTTTTCTGGCATTAATCCCTCTTATTAATGTATTGAATCAAATTCATGAAGCATCTGCAACACTTTTGGTTTGACAGCGACTCATGCACCAAATTCAGGTAGTTCTAAAGTGTGTCACTTTTATATTTTGGCACAATGAATGCGCCAAATTCAAAATAAAATATCAGTTCATATTTTACAAAAGTGGAGCTAATTAGGACCGACTCTCTTTAGGCATACAGAGAGAGAAAATGGAGCAGACAAATTTTACGAAAGTGTCTTGCAAGCATTCTAAAAGTGGTGCATTGTGTGCCAAATTCAAGTACAAAAGTTACATGAATCTGGTTCATGCTGCACCACTTTTAGCATGAGAGACACTTTCACAAAATCTGTCTGAGCCAGTTTTTATGAATTCCAGAGATTAACATTTTGGCTTCCTTTTTTGTTTCCCTAGTAAAAATGTATATAAGCCAGTTGTTACTTTGGTTGACTTTGGACAAAGAAAAATTCTCATACAGTTGCACTTACTTAGCTTCCTATGACTGTTTAAAGAACAATACAAAATTGTTCAACATACTTTGCAACCAGTGAGCATAAAAAAACTTACTAAACTCTTATAGCATCTCAGGTTAAAATCAGAGGTTTTTGTTGCATACATCTGCAAACACATGTAAAGCTACACTTTTCCATCAAGGCATCTCTGTAAAGTGCAGTCCCTAACAAAACACTATCTGAGCTCCAAATTATGAGACATATGGCAATGCATTTCCTGAAAGAAGGTTGCCAGAAGGCAACCCTTTCCTCCTTGATGGTGCAGCAACACACGGAAGCCAAATATCGCTCAAGGCAGCTGTGGACTCCCAGTGTTGTTTTGCAACCACTCAGATCAATTTAAAACTTGCAAAAAAGGACGAAAGGTGAATTGGGAGAAGAGGGAAAGGTGAACATAAGCAGAAAAAAAGTTGCCTAACAGCCTTTCAAGCTAGTCAGCCCTTAACACGTAACTAAACATTTTTGAAGGCTGAAATTTTGAGGTTTATGTGATACCATTTTTTTTTAACTAACCTAATTCCCTTATGACCGCCTAACACAGCTTTTCTCAACCTATTCAGCACTGAAATAACATTCTGGTCTCAAGGAACTCCTGCTAAAAATGACTATATCTACAATGATACATTAGTGTGATGGTCAGTGGGAAGAATGTATATCCAAACTGCCTCCACCCTTCACTGAGACCAAACAACAGTGAAGGGTGGAGGCAGTTTAGATAGACATGCTGGCAGCCCCTGGCCAATGTTGAGGCCTGGTGGCCGGTCCTTTTGTGATTTACTAGCAAGTGGAAAGCACGGTATATTCAGCTGTATGGTGGAAGCTGGGTTTGGCCATTTGAGCTTGTAGCTGTTGATGAGCCATATGTATTTTTTCCAGATTTCTAAAGACATCAGGAGTACACATCATTATCTATCTAATCATCATTAGGAACATCCCGAGGAGGGCTTATGACCCTCGCTTTATACAACTAAGCACTGCTTACTAAAGTCTAACCCTTTAATATACTTGCAGATGATACTAGTGGTTCATCTAAAGCATGGATCCTGAGGAAAAAACGCAGTGAAACGCATTCATCCTATACACTTTGAAAGGATCTAGATAACCTCCATTTTGTTGATGTACGCCATTTTAAGTATTAAGTTAGGTTTTTGCAGATATATTAGAAGTTTAATGAAACTGTTTTAGTTTGCTCAAGGATGTATCAACAAAAGATAACATGACCCTGAAATTTTCTTTGTCTGACTAATTCTCTGAAAGCTAGCAAAAACATTTTATACCAAGAAATGTATATGTCATGTTTCATGTAGCTAGCTCATGATGGAAACTTACAAGTTACAGTTTTGAAACTCGCTCCCCCCCTCCCTTATTTTTTCTGTATCCTATATAATCTTAGTAATGTCTAATAAACTTTGAACATCTCTGAACATAAGCTGCCGTTATTTCCGTGTTCAAGGGGTGTTCCCAGAATTCTGCTGATAAACCAGGAATCTCTCCACAGACCAGGGGTCTCTGAGGGGATAAGAAAATCATCCTTTCACACTTGTTGTGCATCTTACTGCTATTTCAATGTAACCACATGCTGATATCATCTTCAAAGATCATTTGGTTTTAAAATGTGAAGTGTGACTTTGTTTTTTAATGACAAACCAATAAAAGTAAATATATTTTTTAATACTGTTGTTCGATGTGATATTACAGTTTTATCCTCTCGGTGGCTGACACATACAAAGTCCCATTTTCACTGGAGATAGAACAGGACCACCTGATTTTACTGGATGTAACTGCACACTCTGGTTCTCTGTTTTCTGTTCATTACAGTAGATTAGTTAGTGTTTTTTGTTCAAATTCTTGCTTTCTGCTTCAGCAAAACTCCTGGTGTTTTGTTTTTCCCTGTCTCCAATTACAGGATTATGTTTTTTCTTTACGATAAAAACTGATTCTTAATGAATTTTAAGTAGCAGTTTGTATTCTGCTACTTAATTGTGAGCAATACAACTTACAACATCCATACCCCTCAGCTTCTAATTATGTAGCGCAACATCTGCAGTTGATGTTGCTATTACAGAGTTCACATTACCAAAAAATCTCCTTTGCTTGTGTATCGGTTCCATTTGCTTTCTATTGTTCCAGCGGGTCAAACAGATGGAAAATTGGCAATTAAAACAAATAAACACAACACATTATTTGAAATGGCTTATTGCAGTTAAATGAAAAGAATTCCCTCTAAGGCTTACCTGTAAAGTTAACTTTCAGCAGATAGTCCTTGTATAGCTTTTTGCCATCTAGTGTTTTCATGGCATCACACAGCTTTGTGGTGTTTGAACATAGGGTCCTTTGCATCTGATGAAGAGCATGAGCCATTGCATATACAGCATTTACCACAAACATTATTTTGGATTCTTGTTCATAATTAGAACTGTTAATATTGAAGCGTTTATCACATGGTCTATCAGTCTTGTTGTACAAGCTACACTGAAATTTTTGCTGCCAAAAATCCTTAAACCAGGGATTGCGGTGATTATTGCTGGGATTAAGGCTTTGAAAATACTTGTCAAACTCCTTAACCTTATGGGAAGCAAGTTCTAATGTAATTGCCCCATATGCAATGTGTTCATTGCCTTTCACAATACTTTCTTGGGCACCCCACCCATCACTGGCAATCCAAGTAAAGGAAGCATTAAATCGATTAGCAGCTGCCAAGAGTTCTCTTGTGTCATCACTGCGCATAAAAAGAACCACAACCTTAGCATTTGGCTTTTGTAGCAATTCTCGTATAGCACTGTCGTAGGACTTTTTAATATTTGATCTTCCAACTTTTTCTGAAGTGGCAATACAAATATTTCTTAGTCGCGCTTCTTGTTCAAAAGCTTCAATTCCAGTCTCTCCATAATCTCCCTCAGAAGCGACAGTAGATACATATGTCCAGTTAAAGAAACGTAGGATCTCAGCCATTGCTTTTGCCTGATAGAAGTCTGGTGGCACTGTCCTTGCAAAGTAATCATACCGTGATTTATCACTAAGTTTGGCACTGGTGGAAGCATAGCTTATCTGAGGAATATGGAAGAGCCTTAGTAAATTTGCAACCTGTCAATAAAAAATTAGGAAGACGTTAAGAAAAAAAACGTATTTTTGAAGAATACAGGAACATATCAAAGGCTGAAATAATTATAAACTTTACAGAGACGGCACAGAAATGAACAGTCGGTTGTGACCTAATACGTGCAGACAATATAATGATCACCTTTTTCATGATAGGAAGACTCACGATTTCCTTTTTTTTGTGTTGCTAGAATTTGTGTCAAGTTAGAGGTTTAAAACTGTTAAAAAGCTCTATTTATATATAACATAACAGTGTCACCAAACAAACAATCCATATACCATATATTTCCCCCTATCCTTTTTAACTACTGGACAAGTACGACAATTGCTCACTGAATATTGTTTAACAGATATAAGTGGGCACTTCATTGCTGAAGAAGAAAAAAAGAACTACTTATTCACAATAATAACATTATGCCAACCCAATCAACAGAACAGCCAATTATATTATTATTTATATTTTGCTCCTTTTCTGAATAAACACAATTCAACTAAAAATCAAGGGCAGTGTTGAATATGAGAGTCTGTGATATTTTCATATCACCCACTGACCCATTGTACTAGAACTATATGAATAAATGATGTTATCCAATAGAATAAAATATTTAAATCACATCTGTATTTTGTGCATATGCTCTGTTGCTTTGTGTATTGTCCCTCAGTAGAACATATCTGAAAGACCTGACTTTTATTGCTAATAATGCTGTTTTTGATGAATAAATATGCAGGATTGCACACATATCCAAATAAACTCCCCAGACACTGCTACACATCAAAATTTGATAGGGATGAGCTACTTTATTAGCCATCAGGTATGATACGTATCTGCAAAAGCATTCAACTTTATTCTACAAAAAAAGAAACAAAAACTATACTTTCATAAACCTCCTTATTTTCTTATACTTTCATAATTTAGTCTGGCTTCCACACAATATATATTCTTTGACAATAAAACTCATTATCAAGCAAATAAAAGAAAAGGATATTAAACTAGCAGTAACAAACAGTATCTGGCTATTCTGAGCTTGTCAGTTGACCACTTTTTTTCCCTCTATTTGTTTGAATTCTTAGATCACTAGTAACAGTGTCGCTGCTGCTTTATTAAAACTTTATGGCAGATTAAGGTTTCTTGTACCCAGTAACCAATCAGAATACTTATTTTATTTTCACACATGCCCTGCAGAAAGGACATTTGAAATCTGATTGGTTGCTATAGTCAAGAAGACATAAATACAGTATATACACAGTTTTCAGATGTAAGGTACAAATATGTTCTAAAAATTATATATAAGGGTCTTTAGATGTTTAAATTAGAGTAGATGAAACACAAAATTCAGTAATAAGTGTTGAAACTGGAAAACAGAAGTTAGAGTTGTTCAACCAAAACAGAGATTCAATTAATATCACAAACATTTGTAGTCAAATATTTGCAATTTTTTAAATCTGCTTGGTGGGTTTATTGTTTCCTTCCTTGCTTCTTACGTGAACTGGTAAATATGTTCTTTAAACCCCTTTCCAATTCTCTCATGACCTAAAGTAGCTCTCCTTAGTCCATATATTGACTGCCTACCCTATGACATGCTACCCTCAGGTGGAGAATATCTATTTATTTTTCTGTAGCTGATATAATTCCATTGATGCATTATACCATTTACTGTTTTTGTTTTCATCTGAACTGAGAGAACGAGTGGATGGGAACCTGCATAGGGAAATTTAGTGTACTCTAGTAAGCTCATAAAAAGGACCAAATGATTCTTTAATAGTTGACTTCTTGATCTGACAGAGAGAAAATAAGGGATTAGAGGACTGGATTTGGTAGATCCCCAGTTGAACAAATTTTGTCAGCTCCACTCATCTCTAGTGAAAACCTATTTATCTTCACTTTCATCTGCTTTTTGTTTTGGAAAGAAGAAAAAAATTATACTCCATAAATCTTTAATAATGTAGCATAACATCCTGCTTATGCGAGTTTCAGATTATATTATTCACATTACGATGTGATTTAACAGAATGCCCTTTTTCATCCACTTCTCTTGATTATTGTAATTTGCTCTTACAGGATGTGAAAAAATTTGCATGCTTTGCTGTACTTGACAACCAGAAGAAGGAAGATCAAGTGAACATGGGCTAATCTTATGTAGATTTATTAGAGAGTTTTATCCTTACTCAAGTTTTCCTTTATAGCGTTGCTCCAGACAAGTACGTAAATGCATGGTTTCAATACATATACAATTTCTGGCAAAGGACTTGTAATTCTGTAAGCCAGTCTACTCATTTACAAAAAAGGAAGCTCCGTATATGAAGCTTGTTTATTAAGATTGTTCATTGGACAATCCGTCAGCATCATCACTACTGTCTAATTGGCAGGAACATGACCCAGCAAGCAGTAAAGGTGAACCAGAAAGAAGTAGAATTGAACTAGGATGTAGAAGAGTGATCTTCCTGTCTCTGCAGTTTGAACAAGGCTTGCAAATCACAAAATTGTCTGTGAAAAATTACAAATCTTTTTGGCTGTTAAAATAGCAAACATATACACTATATTGCCAAAAGTATTGGGAAGCCTGCCTTTACACGCACATGAACTATAATGGCATCCCCGTCTTAGTCCGTGGGGTTCAATATTAAGCTGGCTCACCCTTTGTAGCTATAACAGCTTCAACTCTTCATGGAAGGCTGTCCACAAGGTTTAGGAGTGTGTCTATGGGAATGTTTGACCATTCTTCTAGAAGCGAATTTGTGAGGTCAGGCACTGATGTCAGACGAGAAGGCCTGGCTCGCAGTCTCTGCTCTAATTCATCCTAAAGGTGTTCTTTCATTGGATTGAAGTTAGGACTATGTGCAGGCCAGTTAAGTTTCTCCACCCCAAAGGGGCCATCCCCAAACTGTTCCCACAAAGTTGGGAGCATGAAATTGTTCAAAATGTCATGGTATAATGACACCTTAAGAGTTCCTTTCACTGGAACTAAGGGATCAAGCACAACCCCTGAAAAACAACCCAACACCATAATCCCCCCTCCTCCAAACTTTATACTTGGCATAATGCAGTCAGGCAAGTACCGTTCTCCTTGCAACCGCCAAACCCAGAAACGTCCATCAGATTGCCAGACAGAGAAGCATGATTTGTCACTCCTGAGAACATGTCTCCACTGCTCTGGAGTCCAGTGGTGGTGTGCTTTACACCACTGCATCCAATGCTTTGCATTGCACTTGGTGATGTAAGGCTTGGATGCAGCTTCTCGGCCATGGAAATCCATTCCATGAAGCTCTCTACACACTGTTATTGTGCTAATATGAAGGTCACACGAAGTTTGGAGCTCTTTAGCTATCAACTCTAAGTTGTCGACTTCTGAGCACTGTGCTCTTTAGCATGCGCTGACCCCACTATGTCATTTTACGTGGCCTACCACGTCATGGCTGAGTTGCTGTTGTTCCCAGTTGCTTCTAATTTGTTATAATGCCACTAACAGTTGACTGTGGAATATTTAGTAGCAACAAAATTTCATGGATGGACTTATTGCACAGGTGGTAACCTATTACGGTACCACGCTTGAATTCACTGAGCTCCTGAGAGTGACCCATTCTTTCACAAATGTTTGTAGAAGCAGTCTGCATGCTTAGGTGCTTGATTTTATACACCTGTTGCCATGGAGGTGATTGGAACACCTGAATCCAATGATTTGGAGGAGTGACCCAATACTTTTGGCAATATAGTGTATATATATCAGTTCTGTATGTAAAGGTTTGCCTAGAGCACCACTTTTTTGCTGCTAACACGGAGGTATTATTCATAAGGAAACTTTAATTACAATAGTAACATCAATAATTTTGGTGCTAGAGGCTTGTGCTGTTTTCCCTAATAGCAGCAGGAGGTATGCGTGTGAAGTTTTTATTTTAGAATCTGAAGTTGTGATTAAATATTTCAGCATTAACTTAAATGGCTGTTATATGAAATACAGTTTATTTTCAAGCCAAGATTTTTTGGAAAGTCCTATGCTTAGAGTGGCAAAATTTATGGAGAGTGGTATTTTTCCATGCACTATTGCAATGCATTTTAACATGCGGCTCTCTATGCACTGCATTTTGGTGCCATTATTGTGAATTGCACACAAGTACATATATACAGTACACCATATCACATACATTTTAGCAAACCAAAGCAATGCATGCAATAATTCACATTAACATGTGCTTCCTTAAGCACAGGAAAAGTGAAACTCTGGCCTTCCTTTAAGAGACCAAGCTGTCCAGCAAAAGTGACAGATTGTTGAGACTAACCATTTACCATTAACAGTGCTTACAATGGTCAGCATTTATTCATTTATTTTCTTACTTTGTTAGTCAAGTCCATCTAAATACTTTCTCCCCACACTGACAATGTGCTGTCCAAGGTGTAAAGAAGAAAAATGTGTTACTGGCTGGATTACCAGGTTAAAATACAGAAAAGAAGTCTTAATAAAGAAAATGAATGCAGCCACTGCATTTAAGGATTGGTACGCTGCAATTTACTATTTTTTTTTATTAATGCTGCTGCAGGGGGATTTGTCCACCAGAGGCATGTTGATAAATTCATGATTTTTACCCAGGTTGATCAGAAAAAAAGCTTTGTGTTCATTGATAAAAATACAAGACTGCTTCTTAGAGTGCAAACACCTGACATTCTTTAATTTTGGCAGGGGGGGAAGTCATCCGTATTTCTGTGCCAGAGCAAAACACTGTAGCTAATGTTACTACAGTCCATTACACCACACACAGTGGGCACATAATTCTATAATGGAATATGTTCCTTTGGACCAGCTTACCCCAGACTATTTAAAGTTAAAATGAACTGTGAATTCTATTCTAAGCCTGTTGGAAAAACTCAAAGATGATGATTAGAAGATCTTGCTGAGTATGGCATAAGGTTTGAAACCTCATGGCTGCATGCATTGTATTGCATCTGTGACTGGGCAATGGCTCATTCCACATTCAGAATGAGAGGTCTGTAA